CGTGTGCTTTGCTCCCCCCAAAGGCCCTTGCTGTCACCGGGCGCACTTGGATGAGGAAGGAGGGCCTCATCCGGATCCCTCGTTGGTTCCCACTAAGCTCTTCCTGCGCACATCCTTGCTGACTGAAGACCCTCCCCTTCTGGAGGCCAGGCCCCACCCTTTTACTAACCTTTTCCCTCCCCTCTTGGACTCTGCTTGGCCCCATCTATAAAACAGCGAAGCTTGCCCTGCCAGTTTCAGATAAGTGCACCGAAAGCCAGCTACACAGGGGACGCTAAATGCTTTTCATCTCACTGACCGAGGGAGCGAGTGCTTCCCTGCAGACACTGCTTGGTGGGGTGGGGTGTGCGAGAGCAAGCTGATATTCCACCGCAAGGGTAGTGAGAGGGGAGGGACCAGGGAGGAAACCTTTAGGAAGCAGGCCAGAAAGACCCCTTGCTAGGCAGTACTGTCTAGACTGGAGGGTGGTGTTGGGAGCTCACTGTTTGCTAACTGGGACACCTCCATCCCTCTCATTCCTGCCTTCCCACTTCTGGCCCTGCAGCACCATCTCCCTGTTCACCCCCTGCCTCTGAGCCTGAAGAGTAGGAAAGAAAGAGGCTGGGAGGTGTTGCCCTGCCACCCCATCTCCACCCTCCTCAGTGAGGGGAACCTCTGGAAGTTCCCCGTGGATGCATCCTGCCCCATGAAAGATCTAAGGGTGTCACAGACCCTCGGCTGTGGTGTAACGTCTTGACTTAGTGTAGCCCTCTGGCATTGTGAACTTTATGCCTTTTTCTTGGTCCTGGGCACTAAGGTTGGAATCCCTTCCCAACTCTGGTGGACACCAGCTCACATGGTGCCCGTGTTCTCTTTGGCCAGGTGGTATTTTCCTCGGGTTTCAGGTGGGATTCCAGAGGCACCAGATCTCACTCTAGAGCAGTTAGTTCTGATCTCTGGCTTGCGGGCTTTCAAGCCCCGATTGTGAGTAGTCATTCTGCCGGTCGGAGGCCACGGTGAGTCTGGCCACCAGGTCTGCGTAGCCAGGAGCATCGAGGAATGTGGTTGGTGGACTTTGGACCATTACCCCAGGAGGTGACAAAGTGCAGGACTCCCAGCTGCCCTCATGCTTTTAGTCCACAGCTTCACAAGGTAGAACGAAATGGTAGAGAACACACAGAGTAAATTACTTGTTTCTTTTTTTTTTTTACAATAGACAACAAGTTGTTGGAAAAGTCCGATCTGCACTCCGTGTTGGTCCATAAACTGCAAGGTGAAAAGCATGACGTGGTGCCAAACAGGCATGAGATCAGGTATTGGACGCCTGCCCGCCTCTATCCATGGTAGTCATTCGTGTCGCTTGACCTTTGTCACCCATCTCCCAGGTGGGGGCAGACCAAGCCCAAGTCTCCCAGTCCCATTTGTTCCCAGGCCAGCGGCATTGGTCCAGGGTCTCCGAGCTGTCCGGCCAGCTCAAGGGGTTTCTGAGGGCCTGTCTGCTCACAGTCCCACACTTTCCTGGCTGTGGCGGATGCTCCCACCCACTAGCTATTCAGGGACCACTCTCTGGGCCAGGCATCACACAGTTCCTGCCCTCCGGGAAGGACCCCTGGTGTCACAGTGGGTTAAAGGTAGGGCGATTAACCTTAAGGGCAGTGGTTCAAATCTGCCAGTCTCCTGAGGGAGAGAAAGGTGCCACAGTCTGGGCCTTCTGTCGGGTCCCTTATCTTTGGATCGGGCCTAAATGTGCATCTCTTTCCGTCACTGGGCCAGGTGGCTGTCTTCTCGGCACAGACAAATGAGTGCAGCGTCCAGGCTGCATCTTTGGTTGACATTTCAGCGGCTGTGCCGTCAATCTTGGGAGCCTTGCTTTTGGCTAATGCCGTCAATGCAACTTTAGTCCACATTGAAAAACCAGTTCTTTGAGACACTGGGAAGCCAGTGTGGAGGCCACATCTGACCTGCTTTGGCTGCGCAAAGGAGGAGAATCCAGTTCCACAGCAGCCCACAGCCATGTGTCAGCAGGCAGTGAGCAGACTTGCCTCTGCCCTCCTTCTTTTTCCCCTCTCCTCTCTAGAGGGAGGCCCCTCTCACTCACACTCGTCACTGTCGGCTGGGTGTGAGAATCCCTCACTGTGGCCACACAGGACTCTCACAGACAGGAGTCATAATCACGCAGGTTTGTTAGAGAAGTTTTAACAGGCTGGCAGAAACCAGTGTCTGAAGACATTAAGGATGCAGTCTCTGGTCCTCAGCCTTAGCCATGAGTCACGCAACCCCTTGGCCTCTGGGTGGACTGGGAAGCCCACCTGCTGTTGGCTCACTGCCCCGTGGTCCCCGTGGGTCTCGGTGTAGCAGGCCTCTGTCCTGGGGCCTCCTGTCAGATGGGGGTCTTGACCATGCCCTGCTGGTGTCTCCTTTCGTGCTGCTCACAGGAGTCTGCTCCTGCTTCCGATAGTGCTCACTCCTCCCCACAGGAATGGCCAGCCTGACCAGCCCCAAGTTAGGTGATTTCACTTCACCATAGGTATAGCGACTGTACTTCTTCCCATCGTCTTTTGGTGCCTCCTACGTCATTCTGTTCTTATCCAAGGTACAAGTGCAGAGGAATTGGTGAAGAAGATTGAAGGGGCCCAGACTGCCAGAAGGGCAAACCTGACTCAAGAAATACAGCCAGAATGCTCCTTAATGCTTAGGGGGGTTAGACTTTGTCTTGTGTACGCTGATCATGTGATCAGGAGCCGCCAGTCCCTGAACAATGGCGTCATGCGTGATAAAGAAACAGGCAGACCCGCAGTGAGGTGGATTGACACAGTGGCTCCACATAGAGGAGGGCAGCGTGGTGGTCTGCGGTACAGAGGGCTGCTGTGAGTCAAGCGGGCTCTGCTGCTCACCCCGTGGTAGCAAGTGTGTGAGTCCGGGTGGACTAGAGAACAATTTCATGGGCGCCCATATGGGCATGAGAAAGACCTTTGTGTGAAAGAGCAGTTGTGTGTTGAGAAAACAGCCCAGTGCAGATCAGGTCCATAGTCCGATGTCAGCCCACATGTCCGATACCAGTCTATGAAGTCCTCTTCAGACTGCAACACACGCAACAACGCCGACTGCAGGAAGAGCACAGGCCACTGGGTGGAGAGTCTTGTGGATCCAGTGGCAGTAGATGCCTCCTAGCACTGGCATGGGTCTCCACGTGGCTCTATCAGTTTAGTTCCATATGGCTTGTCAACAGGAATGTCTCACGGGAAGGAAGACAGGAGTTCCCAGAATCCTCAGGAGAAAGCCATACCCACACAGAGGCCTCATTGGCTATGATCTGACAGGCTAGACTCCACCCCATCATTCAAGTTGACAGTAGATTATGTAACCGCCACAGCAAGTTTGTTCCCTACTGAACGTGTCCGCCTGGATGGCTGACCCTGGACGCTCACGTCCTTCCCCAGGCCAGCTCCCGCCAGTCTCCTCAGCCCAGTAGGTGACGTCCACATGTAGTCGTCTGAGCAAGCTGAAAGCCTGGGAGTCACACTCACTCCCACCTTTCCCTCCTGCCCCACATCCCATTCCAGTGCCTGTCTGTCCAATCCCTTGAGTGTGTCCAGTGTGCGGCCACATCGCCTCACACCGGCTGCCCCTCCTATCTGATGGCAACAGCCTGCTGACCCGCTGTGGTCCCTGGGGCTTTCTCCTGCGCAAGCGTTTGCTCTGCCTGAACTTGCCCGAGGTTTCCCATTCACACCTTGCCAGCCAGGGTGCCGACTGTCCCCGCCACCTGGCCCCATGCTGGGTCCCACAGTCCGCCGCACATGACCTGCCACCTCCAGAGCCCTCTGCTTAAAAGGGTGCACGCTCAGGTGACATGGGATCCTACTTCTCTGGTGTCAATCACTCCCCCCTGCTTCATC